ATTATTTTTAATGAATTGGGTACATTATACAAGTTAAAGTACTGTCTAAATATGAATGGGTACATTTATCTTAACCTAAGCAGGGAAACCCGGTCAGGGAATCCATGAGCAGCACTTTTGAGTGGCTGCTGCCGTATGCTTTGGAGACAATCCAGCTCACATATCAACTATGTAACCAGAAAAGCTAAAACAGCCCAGTCTGGGTTCCTTCATCTTAAAAATCAGGCAACAGTTCCTTCTTAGAAGGTTTGTAATGATTAAGTACATTTTAAAAGATTGCAACTCAGAGAATTTCCCACATGGTAATTTTCCAATCACTGGCCCTTTAATGGATTGGAGACCAGCAAGAGTAGAAATGCAGAAGCCAATCAAAAAGCCAAGTTGGCAGTTCAGTCAAGAGCTGGGGATAGTCTGAGTTAGGGAAAGAGGGGAAACGAAGAGCTACAGATGTACTTGAGAGAGATGTATGAGTTTACAGGACTCAAAGTTTATTTGGACATGGGCTTCGCTACTAAGGGTCTGTAATACTATAAAACAGTCCCTGATCTCTTTATTTTCCTTCATTTTAGATGTTTATTTCATGCTTAAAATTTTTTTCTAACCCTTAGTAAATACCTCCCCCACCTTTACTTTTAGCTGAAGACCTTGTTGCTGAGTCACAAAGGAAATAGAAGCAATCAGAAAAAAAGTCTGAACTGCTCAGCTACACCTGCCTACTCACCCCCTTCGTCTGCACCCACATTCTCCATCATCCTGCTGTTACTGTGGTTACTACACAGGCCATCTCCAGCTGGGCCTTCAACACTGCACTTACCTCCTTCCTGTCAACTAGCACCTCATTCTCACTAGTATGTGAATATGGCACTTTTTTTTTGCCTATTTAAAAACAAAATAAAACAAAACAAACAAATACACACACAAACAAGAACAACAACAAAAATCTTGTGGTCTCATTTTTCCCCATAGCTAACATTCTACTTTGTGATTTGCTTGGTTTCAAATGAAACTTCCAGGAGTCTTGATGGAACTCCTATTCATTTAGTATACCTACTCCAATCAGACATGCACCAAACTATAAAATACCATAACCAGAAAGCTTACTTAGGCATAGGTGTGAATGTCAGGCTGAGAACATGAGAAAGAACATCAAGCAAGGTCATCACAAGGGAACTCACAGAAACAACTAACCTGACTCATAGGAACTCACAGTCTCTGAACGCACAGCCAGGGAGCCCACATGAGACCACCCTAGGTCCTCTACATATGTGTGACAGTTGTGTAACTTGGTCTATCTTTGGGACTCCTAGCAGTTGGATCAGGGTTTGTCCCTAAAGCTTTGGCTGGCTTTTGGGAATCTATTCTGCATACTGGCTTGCTTCTCCCAGCCTTAATACAAAAGGAGGAGCTTAGACCTTCCTCAACTTGATATGCCATGCTTTGTTAACACCCATGGGAGGCCTGCCCCTTTCAGAACAGAAACAGAGCAGTGGATGGTAAGGGACAGAGCAGTGGATGGTAAGGGCCAGGAGGAGAAAGGGGAGGGGAAACTGTGGTGGGGAGGTAAAATAAATGAAAAAGATAATATAAAAAAATGTGAAACCCTTAGTCATAATTGATCACACAAACTGCTGTTTCAAAAAAAACAATCTAAGCTTTTCCTGCCAATTGGCTCTGATTGACTTGCTGTATAATATAGTTTATTGGGGAGATGAACATTGGTGTGAAAATTATAACCACTATTGTTTTCTTTATGTCAGGCTTATGCTAGGCCTTTCTGACCATCTCAGAAAGCCAAGCACTAACAACTAGTTGTGCCAGGCGGTGGTGGCGCACGCCTTTAATCCTGGCACTCGGGAGGCAGAGGAAGGCAGATCTCTGTGAGTTCGAGGCCAACCTGGGCTATCAAGTGAGTCCCGGGAAAGGCGCAAAGCTACACAGAGAAACCCTGTCTCGAAAAACTAAACACACACACACACACACACACACACACACACACACACACACACACACACCAACTAGTTGCATCAGGGTTATTTGTGAAGGAAACATACATGCCCCCATCCTTTTAGAATCAGCACAAATATAAAAAGCAATAAATATAACATCAGTCATTTAAAAGGGGGAATTCAGAACCTATGGATTGGGGTTCGGGATTTAGCTCAGTGGTAGAGCACTTGCCTAGCAAGAGCAAGGCCCTGGGTTCCGTCCTCAGCTCTGGAAAAAAAAAAGAACCTTTGGATTTAAGAGTGAAGAGAAGGGGGTTAGAACAACTGATTTCCTATTACTGTTTGTCTTAATCAGAATGTGTCTCATACTCTAACAGATGAAGGCCGACCACAGTATAGTGCATGAAGTAAATGAAAAGAGACTGATTACAACTAAATAAGTTTTGAGATCAGAGTTATAAATGCCACATAAATAAATGTGCCAGAAGAACACACTTTATCTGGGAAATAATGATTTTAATGAAACAAGTAAGGGGTAAAACAGCCTTACTTGTTTGAGATGATAGGTCCCATCAATAGATATACTTCCATTTTACTAGGGATTCAAATATCTGCTTGTAAATCAAATATAAGTCAAAAGTGATGACCTTGTTAAAGGGATTTGGAGTGCATTGCTCTTCAAGAAAATGAATTTATTCATAATATACCAAAACTGCCTTCTGTTGGATTAAAGACAGTATTGTTGTTTTGAGTTGGAATAAAAGCAAGGACCTCAGTGTGAAAAAAACTGAAATGTTTATATATCATTTAAAAATAACATTTAATACAGTGAGTCAGGTTTTGGATGAAGCAACAAATGTATGCTAGAAAATGTTCTATTAAAATAATGAGTTTTCCTCTGAACTCTGTACAGTGACAGTACCAATATCTTTAGCCTTTTAAACAAGTAGTTAATATATTCATTTGGGTTGACAAAACATTGGTTTTCTTCTGTGTTCAGATCAAATGGGCACACAGAACACACTAAGGACAATAATGAAAACCATCCAAAAATAACCAATTTAAAATTTTCTATTCCTCATGAAACAGCCCAATAATATCTGCATGCTGTCATCCGAATGCTTGTTTGTGGTCCCTCCCCCAACCACGCCATTTAAACACCGAGACTCTAACCCCCAAGGTGATGATTTTAGGAATGGGGCTATCTGAAATACAACTAGGTATTGAGAATAAAGGCCTCAAGCCCCTTTGAGAATAAGTTTTGTTATGTAGGAGCCTGAGGGAGTTTGTATCCCCCTTTGAGGATGGGGTGAAAAGACATTGTACACATGGAATAGCCCTATCTAGACATCAAGGCTGTGGGTGCTTTTGTCTCTGACTTCCAGCCCATAGGACTGTGATATATCAGTATTCACTGGGTTATAAGCCACCAGCTCATGGTTATTTCATGACAGCAGCCCCTCAAATCTAAGACACTATGCGTATCCTGACCATGATGTGCACACTATTCAGCTACTGTCTGTTTAGGGCTGCACCAGGCCATATTTGAAGAAATTAACACCCCCTGGCTATCCAGCACTAGAAACAAAACTAACCCAAGCTGAAATATTGCTGGGAACAAAAACAGTCACATCAAATTTTGAAGACATTATCATAAGAATAATGCAAAATATATCACTAAAGATTTCTGGAGTTCTAACCAGACTGCAGAGAGCAAGAAAGAACATCCCTCCCACTACTAGAACAAAATAGGTGTTGGAATAAGTTCAAATTGATGAGTCGACTTACACTCAGGGAACTGGGGCTGCAGAGCCAAACTAATCAGAAGAAAGAGCCTGTGAGGAGAGAAAGGACTGAGCTCTTTCTCAAGAGATACCCCAACAAGCAGCAGCCAGCTGACTTAAGCTGAGAATATGATGAAGATTCTGTATTGGCTGGCAGAGAAATTCAGAATTCATGAGGGTTTCAAAAATATTACAGCCCCCAGGTTCTCAAAAAAAAGAACTGTGGAGCGAGAAGAAAATGCTCATTTAAGTAGAAACACAAGAACAGGAGAGCAATCCCCCTGCAGGAAGGCTAAGGAGCAAGAAGCATCTGTGAGATGGTATTGTGTTCTCCGAAATATTGTGCACCCTAACAAACTTATCTGGGGTCGGAGACAGAACAGCCACAATATTAAACATAGAGGATAGGCAGTGGTAGCACACACCTTTAATCCTAGCATTCCAGAGGCAGAAATCCATCTGTTCAAGGATACAGCCAAGCATGGTGACTCATGCCTTTAATCCCAGAAAGCAAGCCTTTAATCCCAGCGAATGAGGCAGAAAGCAGAAAGCTATATAAAGTGTGAGGACGAGAAACTGGAAGCATTTGGCTGGTTAAGCTTTTAGCTGGTTAAGCTTCAGGCTTTCGAGCAGCAGTTCAGCTGAGAGTCATTGGGATGAGGCTTCCAGTCTGAGGAAACAAGACCAGCTGAGAAGTTGGTCAGGTGAAGTTAGCTGTGGCTTGTTCTGTCTCTCTGATCTTCCAGTGTTCACCCCAATAACTGGCCTCAGTTTTGATTTAATTAGTAAGACCTTTTAAGATTCCTGCTACACATTTGAGCCCTCTTTCTTCTAAGGTTTCAGTTAGAGAAGTAGCACATGGCAGGGAGGGACACAAACACTTCCATCCTTAGAAGGGCTGGTGAGTGAAGAGAACTGACTCCTGAAGAGGGAACAGGAGTACATGGTAGGATTAAACAGCCAGGAAAGGGTCAGAAGAACTAGGAGGGCCTCATCTGACATCCAGAAATGTGGTGCCTGCCTACGCTAAAACACACCATCACATCTCTTCACCAACATGATGTTGATGGAAAGAGATTTCCTTTGAGCATGACATGGCTGTTGGCCATCACTGAGTACAGGTTGCTATGATAACCTAAGGAATGTTTAGTCTCTTTAGTTCATGACAACGAAGCAAGCAGAACAATTCAGTGACAGGTAGGTCTGTAGTGATGGCAATGGACTGTTAACACCCCCTAGTTAAAGGAAGGGGGTGCTAGGGGACTCTCACCTGGGATCTTAGGCATTTCTCCCTCTAGCCACCAAGCTGCATATGTGAGGTACTGAAGGATGTAGGAGATGGAATGTTAACTGAAGGCAAGATTCTGTGATACAGCTTTTATGATGTCACCACTCATTATGGGTGACAGAGTAGGGACTTTCAGTGATTCACCATAAATTACCTCTCCTTTGCTCCTTCTGCTTACAGCCCAATGAACTCACTGGATTATCAAAATAATCTGAGTGGAATCATTGCCTTGGTCTGTCTTCAATGTCCTAGCTAAGATAAACAAACCTTTGTTCACATATCCTCAGAAAAAAATACAACAAATAAGCAAACCAGCTTTAGATAACAGTAGTATTCACAATGATATTCTCTGCTGAATAAACTTAGGAGAAAACACCTAAGGCTGAAGACACAAAGACACGGATGTGGTAAGGAAGTCAATCCCTTTTCTAAATACGAGATATCACTGTAAGAATTCAAAGGGGGCACTGAGCTCAATCATCAAGACAGGCTTAAAATTTTGTCCAAATTCTACACTCATATAAAGGCCTAGTAGCTAGGAAGGTATACCACTTCCAGAATAAATTGTATATATCACCCAAGAGGCTTAACAACTATCAAAATCAATCAGATACGGCAGGCACACTTACTGGATTTACAAATAGCTATTAGTCATGTAGTCCAGATCCTAGTGGACACAGTAATCAACATACAAGATCAATTGAGAAATTTAATCAGAGACAAAAAAAAAAGTAAGAGGTGATCAAGTGAGAATTGTAGAAAAATTTAAAGGAGGGATAGGACATGGGTTGGAGAGATACCTTAGTGGTTAATAGCACTTGTTGATCTTGAAGAGGACTCAGGTTCAGTTCCCAGCACCCACATGAGGATTCATAACCATCCTTAATTATAGTCCCTATAGATGGGATCCAATGCCCTCTTCTTGCCTCCATAGGCTCTGCACACACATGGTCCACATACATGCATACAGGCAACACACACATATAAAATAAATCTTTCTAAAGAATTAATGAGCACTCACAAATGTCCATGAGTAAACACAACGCGTCCAAAGAAGAAATTGGTGAACTTGAAGATAGACCAGTAGAAATTGATCTACCTGAAAGAACTTAACCTACCCTGAAACTGATCCATATGTCCTGGGCCACAATCAGTACCATACACACATAATTGGACCCACAAGGAAAAGAGAGATCTTTGCAGAAAAAACTCATTTTAAAATAGCATAAAAGTAAGAACTAATTTTTTTAAGATTAAGGGCCCATAACAAAGAACAGGTCTCCAGACTCCAAAAAACACCAAGCAGAAAATTATCAAGGACAAAAGAGATTCACCTCCATGAGTACACCATGATCAAACTGGTGAAAGTCAAACTCCAAGAGAAAAGCTCAGTGACGCACAGATGTCACAGCCACGTCACACTCAGAACAGCAAAGCTGAAAACTGAAATAGATTTGGCTTCCGGTGGCTAAGACATAGAAAAGAACAACAGCTGCATCCAGCTGGGGCTCAAGAGCCTGGTGAGCAAGGGCACCCTGGTGCACACCAAGGGCACCAGCACCTCTGGCTCCTTCAAGCTCAACAAGAAGGCGGCTTCCGGCGAGGTCAAGCCCAAAGCCAAGAAGACAGGAGCTGCCAAAGCCAAGAATCCTGCAGCCAAAGCCTTCTTGAGCACGGCCAGGGACATGCCACTGTGCTCCTTAGAGCTATAGGTCAGAAACATAGAAAGGTGAGCATGAGAAAGAAGAGAAAGTGCTTAAAGGAGCAAGGAAGGGGGCTGAATAGATACACGTGATAAAAGCAAATGAAGAAAACGATATTGGGGTGCCAGGCAGAAGGAGGCAGGCAGAGGGGTATGCTTTAGGGCAATGGGTAAGGGGACAAATGAGAATGAAGTATATTGACACACAAGCATGAAAATATCATAATGAGAGGGCTAAGATATAGTTCAGTTGGAAGCAAGCCTGCCTATAATAAATGAATTCCCAGGCTTATGTGCCAGCCTGTATAAACCCAGTATGAAGACACATGCCTGTAATCTCAGAACTGAAGAGGTAGAGTCAAGATGATCGGAAGGTCAAGGCCATCCTTTGTTACAAAGTGAATCTAAGGCTAGTCCAACTTGCCTGAACCCATGTGTAAAAACAAAATAATAACATTTATAAAAACAAAATGTCATAATGAACCCCATTACTTTGCATACCAACCTTTAAAAAATCAATTAAAATATATAAAAATGATTTTTTTATTTTATATATTTTTTAAATTTTTATTTTATTTTATTTTAAAATATAATTTAGTTCTACATATCAGCCACAGATTCCCTTATTCTCCCCCATCCCGACACCCTCTCTTTCCCCCCAACCCACACCCATTCCCACCTCCTCCCAGGCAAAGCCTCCCCCGAGGATTGAGATCAACCTGGTAGACTCAGTCCAGGCAGGTCCAGTCCCCTCCTCCCAGGCTGAGCCAAGCGTCCCTGCATAAGCCCCAGGTTTCAAACAGCTAACTCATGCAATGAGCATAGGACCAGGTACCACTGCCTGGATGCCTTCCAAACAGATCAAGCCGATCAACTGTCTCACCTATTCAGAGGGCCTGGTCTAGTTGGGGGCTCCTCAGCCATTGGTTCATAGTTCATGCGTTTCCATTCGTTTGGCTATTTGTCCCTGTGCTTTATCCAACCTTGGTCTCAACAATTCTCGCTCATATAAACCCTCCTCTTTCTCGCTAATTGGACTCCCAGAGCTCCACCCAGGGCCTAGCCATGGATCTCTACATCCAGTTTCCTCAGTCATTGGATGGGGTTTCTAGCACGACAATTAGGGTGTTTGGCCATCCTATCACCAGAGTAGGTCAGTTCGGGCTGTCTCTTGACCATTGCTAGCAGTCTGTTATGGGGGTATCTTTGTGAATTTCTGTGGGCCTCTCTAGCACTTTGCTTTTTCCTTTTCTCATGTGGTCTTCATTTACCATGGTCTCCTCCTATTCCTTGTTCTCCCTCTGTTCTTGATCCAGCTGGGATCTCCTGCTCCCCCAAGCTCTCTTTCCCTCGACCCTCACCCTTCATTACCCCCACTCATGTCCAGGCTGTTCATGTAGATCTCATCAATTTACCCATCTTTGGGGGATCCCCATGTCTTTCTTGGGGTCTTGTTTTCCAGGTAGCCTCCCTGGTGATGTGAGTACCAGTCCAGTCATCCTTGTTCCACATCTAGTATCCTCCTATGAGTGAGTACATACCATGTTTGTCTTTCTGAGTCTGGGTTACCTCACTCAGGATGATTTTTTTCTAGGTCCATCCATTTGCCTGCAAACATTATGATGTCATTGTTTTTCTCTGCTGAGTAGTATTTCATTGTGTATAAGTACCACATTTTATTTATCCATTCTTCAGTTGAGGGGCATCTAGGTTGTTTCCAGGTTCTGGCTATTACAAACAATGCTGATGTGAACATAGCTGAGCAAGTGCCCTTGTGGTATGATTGAGCATTTCTTGGGTATATATATGCCCAAGAGTGGTATAGCTGGATCTTGGGGGAGATTGATTCCCAATTTTCTAAGAAAGCGCCATATTGATTTCCAAAGTGGTTGTACAAGCTTGCATTCCCACCAGCAGTGGAAGAGAGTTTCCATAGCTCCACATCATCTCCAGCATAAATTGTCTTCAGTGTTTTTGATCTTAGCCATTCTGACAGGTGTAAGGTGGTATCTCAGAGTTGTTTTGATTTGCATTTCCCTAATAATTAGGGATGTTGAGCAATTCCTTAAATGTCTTTCAGCCATTTGAGTTTCCTCTGTTGAGAATTCTCGGTTTAGTTCTATAGCCCATTTCTTAATTGGACTGTTGGGCATTTTGATGTCTAATTTCTTGAGTTCCTTACATATTGTGGATATCAGTCCTCTGTCAGATGTCAGGTTGGTGAAGATATTTTCCCATTCTGTTGGCTGTCACTTTGCCTTGTTGACCATATCCTTTGCTCTACAAAAGCTTCTCAGTTTCAAGAGGTCCCATTGATTGATTGTTTCTCTCAGTGTCTGAGCTACTGTGTTATATTTAGGAAGTGATCTCCTATGCCAATGCATTCAAGACTACTTCCTACTTTCTCTTCTAGAAGGTT